GGGGGGGGGGGGGGGGGGGGGGGGGGGGGGGGGGGGGGGGGGGGGGGTGGCATGAGCGGCATGTTCGGGTGCGCGTATTCTCTGTCTGCGCTGGTATTTGTCCTCAGACCGTGCCGGGAGAAAAAATAGGCATCCAAGCCTCACGGTTACTTTCCGGAGGATGCCACCGCTATGCCGTCACTTTTTTCGTTGAATTGTTTGTCTCTGCTTTTTCTCTTGTGCGTTATACTAATAATACACAGAACATCTTGTGTCATCCCTTGGCAAGGCTGACTTTGCATGTCTGACTCGCGACATAGCCGAACCCACAAGCTTTTTTCGTTTGGATGTTCACCGTCCATGGGTGAGGCAACTCTAGGTGTCACCTTTCAGATGCGATTATGTACTGCTCATGCCCCCCCCTCGAGAGCAATGCCGGTTTCGGTTGGGCTTTTTTTTTAGCGCGTCGCAGCGGCACCGTGTTTCTAGCCCTATCTTGCCTTCCTTGACGTCTCAGCTCTGCCTCTGGGTCGTTTTTTTTCCTTTGGGGCGTTACGCATGACTTTGTCACAACCACCCGCCGTTTCCATATTCACGACGCCCTACATTTGTATTGGTTTAGCAATGTTGTACGCTGATTCGCGTTCCATCTCGTCTAACGCGCTACCCTCTTTGGGCAATCGCCCTCGTTGTCTGCTCCGTCGCACGATGGCTTCACATTGTACACTGATGCTGCTGCTTTTGCTGCTGCTGAAGCGGGACAAGCCGGAGGGAATCCAGCGTTGGTGGCGGCGTTGCCAGCGGGGCTAGAATCGCGTCCGCTTCAAAGCTCCTGGGCTCTCTCGCAGACGAGGATGCTGTGGGCATAACGGACACAGAGGTGCGCTCAATCAAGTCCTTACATGCCCATGTCTTCATACTTCGTTCTTGCATGTGCTTCCAGTTTGCTGGCTCTCCCCAAGTCGACTATCGGTGTGCAAGCAGGCTTTGTTTGTTCTTGTCCTGCGCCTTGCTTCATATCTCCCTCGTTTTGGTCAAATCTAATCCCATCTCGCTCTGTCTGGTTGACTGTCTCCCTCCATCTCTCTCTGTCTTCTTCTCTCTCTATCCACCTATCTATCTCAATCGCTGTTACGATTCGGTGCTGTAACTATCCGCGGATGGGAAAAAGGTGTCCGTGATGCGAGTTCTGACGCTTCTGCTGGGGCACGAGCTCGACAAGCAGCTCGACAAGGTCTTATGGCTGGCACGGAAGTACGACGAAAACGAAAACGCCTTTCGTTTCAGGTACGGCGTCGCAACTGCCAACGGCTTTCATTGGCCGATCCAGCCATCGAACATCTCTCTCTCTCTCTCTCTCTCTCTCTCTCTTTCTCTCCCTCCCTCCCTCTCCCTCTTTCTCTCACGTTCCCTCGCTCTATCTCTCAATCCATCCGTCTACTCCGCATCTATCTGTATATATCCCTGTCACGGTGACTGTTAGTCTTGACACATGTACAACAGCAGTACCTGACCGCCGACGACGTGCAAGCCCGAATGACACCGCGGAACTCAACGCGCTCGAGTGCTGCTACCGAGCATCATCGTAGAGATTTCTCCCCGAAGGCGGGAGCGTACTCCGTTCATTGTATTTCATGGCCTTGCTTCAAAGACCGTATCCCTTTTTCACCAGGCAGGCTTGAGGCAGGGGGAACCCACAGGATTTTTACATGACTGTGCATGAGCACGGTGAAGGCGCACGCGACACCGCGTGATGTGAAGAGTTGACCCGCTTGGTTCTGGACTACGGAGGTACGACAGTGTTGCGATATTTTTCGATTTTATCGGAGCACACGTGTTTGGTAGCACCCTACATGTACGCCCACCTCAACTCCCTTGTTTCTTGTGTTTGCGTACCGGGCCACATTCTTTCCCTGCTTGCGGTTGGTCTCCATAAACGTTAGTTTCGACGCTTCCACGAACAAGATGGTTGCGACCTACAAGGGCAAGGACATCTGGTCGCTGGTGCGCAACAGTGGCGGCGCGGGCCTTGTGGCTGGCAAGGAGGGTGAGATGAACACGCACAACCTCCCCAACCTCTCCGGAACGCTGTTGAGGCTGGCGGTAGCGGGTCAGGAGAGCGGGAGGGCGGGCGGCCCGACATTGACAGCCCGGTGAGTCACGCACTCCCTCGATTGTTTCGGCGCTATCCTCTCACTCAATCCTGATATGGCGGTTTGTTTTCCTGCTGTTCGTAGTGGGTACAATGCATAAGCCCAGTCGAATTAGCGTCCCCGATATGGAACCCGTACTTTTTATCCTTTCCGAAACCATCTCCCGCCTCTTCTACCCTCCAACATATGGCGGGCCGCGTTGAGACGCGAGTACCTCTGAGTATCCCCCCGAAAGCCCACACGCCAGGCCCCACGTCTCCGCCCTCCACGTTCAATCATGTGCAGGTCTTTCGCGCTCCTGTTTCGGATCAGCGACCAGGGAAACCAGTTGGCTCGAGAGGCCCGCAAGGTCACGCAGCTCACCGGCCGTGCGGCCTCCGAGACGCACCGTGGCCTCACCCGCGCCGTGATGGCGCTCCGAGCCTTCTCGCGCCGTCGGGCCGGTCGACCCGCAATGCTGGCAGACGCGGTCGGCAACAGCAACGGGAGAAACGTGCCTCTTGGTGGGCCGTCGGAGCGTCTGGCGGCACCATCGCCTCCGCCCCCCCCGACAACGACGAAGCCTCTTCACCGTAAGGGTGCCGGCGAAAGCGGCGTTCCGGTTAAGGTGAGACCGACAGCAGCGGCGAGGGGAGGAGTGGACGGCGGTACCGGCGCATCACCTTCAGATGAGGCAGGTGCCGACGTTGCCAGAGCACGGAGCCTTTCGGCCATATTTGCAGCGGCACCACCACGACTAGTACCGGCCCAATCTGGACAAGATGCGCCAGCGGCTGCGGTGTCGGCGGCGCCGACGGGGCTCGGGACCGACCTGATCTCCGCCTTGCAGGCGCCTTTGCTGGCATCGTCGCCGCTGAACCGGCCGCTGTCGACCGACAGCATCAGCAGCGCCGAGGAGGAACCGAACGCGGGAGGCAACGTCGAAGACGGCGCCGCCGCTAACAGTGTCGGTGTCCGCAGCAGCAGCAGCAGCAGCAGCAGCAGCAGCAGCAGCAGGGGTAGCAGCATCAACGACGGGAGCCCCTTGATCGAGGCGTGGGCGGCGGCGGCGGCAGAAGAAGCCGCGGCGAAGTCAGCGGCGCTGAAGGCCTCCGTGGCCGCGGAAGACGCCGCGCAGACCGAGGAAAAGAGTGTCAGCGAGGCCCTCGGGGAGGTGCGCCGGGCGCTCAAGGCCGGGCGGGAGGACGCCGACGGCGCGCAAGCGGAGGTGGAGCGAGTGGCGGCTGGGGTGGGGCTTCCCGCGGCCCTTCTCGGGGCGCTGAGGGCTCTGAGGAGGGAAGATGACGCTGGTGCTGGCGCCAGTGGAAGCGGGGGCAGTAGCTGGCTGAGCTTGGCGAAAGAGGTACTTCAATTTTCTTGGTGCGGACGTTCGAGGAACGCGTCTCTAGCGCCGTTAAATGGCCAAGGAAGGAACAGCATTGAACAGCGGTTGCTTTCGCTGCTCCCGCGAACCCGGTTGAAGCATGGCCATCATTATCGTGCGGTCGTGATTGGAAATCGTTGGTTTGGTCCAGGGGTTGATTCGGCGAGTGCGTGCAGTTGGCCATCCCCTATTCCGACTTGGCGCCTTTTCCGTGTTGGTGCTTTTCCCACCTGCAATTTGGCCTTGGATCAGCGCATCGTAGTCTCTCGCCACAATGCCTTGGATGAGTGCGCGGGCCTCGTGCAGCTTCCCCTATGCTTACACCTGTCTCGCGCACCCACCGAACCGCGCGGCATACCTGTCCAATCGCCGTTTGATCTCGGCTCCACTGTCTCTCCGTTCCTGCGCAGATCATGGAACTGCTTCGCCTCCTCATGGAACAGGGGCCGAGCCCGGACCTCCGGCGTTTCCTGTTCTCCAACTTCTCCTTGCTCTTGTCTTTCCTCAACGTTGGCGCCCCCGCGCCAACGGCTGCATCGTCGTCCCAGCAAGCTGTTGTGGTCGGCGGCGGTGGTGGTGGTGATGGTCGCAGCGGTGGCCGGCGGCTGTTCTTCGCCAGCCCCGTGGCTCGTCTAATGGGCGAAGTGGTCAACCAGGACTACCTGCTGGCGACGAGCGTTTCGGAGGAGCAACTGACTCAGCTTACGATGGCTGCGACTCGGAGCAGGTATGGTATATCGGGGTACAAGTTGTCGCTGTCCGTGTGCGCTGCGACAGCTGCCGCGGTTTCTTCATCTCTCGTACAGTAATGCTGCCGCCGTATTCGGTGACTTTTGTTCGAGCTCTTGGTATTGCTCTCAGCGAGTTGAGAGGATCTCGGCCGTTCCTACAGGGTAACCCGTCGACTATCTTTGCTAGTGTTCTGGTGAGCCCAGGGTAGCCAGTAGTTATTACCCAGTTCCCCCTCGTCGGGCTTGGTCAACCAGTCTGCGAAGTTTGAGGACGCGGGGCTTTTGTCGGTCTTGCTCTCTACTTTCATACGCATGATGATGCCAATCGGTGCTTTTGCCGCTCGAGAGTATCGTTGGCTGCGGGTCCCATCATTAGGTGCCGAGCGTGACGGTGCGCTCATTCTTCTCGTGACCTGTGTGCGGTTGTACAGGGAAGCCGACCTTCTGGTGCTACTTCAGAAGCTCGTCACGTGCAACGGAGCGCCTGTCCACAACATGCAACGACGCGTGCTGGTAAGCAGACACAGGTTGGAGGGCGGGCGTCCGTGTACTTTGATGACTGTTGCACTGTCGAGGTAGCAATCTACCCCTGTCCTGATCTTAATAAATCGAACCCTCTTCTCGTTTCACTCCTCACGCCCCCCCCGGGACCCCGTGTCAGGTTTCTTTGCTGCGAGAGCTTAGTCGTACAGACTACCACGACGCCTTCGGGTGGGATGATCTCCGCCCGCCGCCGCAGCCCCCCGCTAGCCGTCCCCAACCTCACCCGCGGGTACAACACCGGCGGGCAGGGTCGAGTGGTCACGACAACAGCGACCTGCCTCGCTACAGCCCCGATGATGGTGACGGCAGTACTCCTCCTCTTCTTCCCGTTACTTGTACGCTACTTCGCTCGCCACCGGCGCCGGTGCCGGCCGACGATCACCGAACAAGAGCCGGAGGGGGCAAGCAAACGCCGGCGCTCGGAGAGACTACTCCTGGGAGCTCCGCCGCGGCGGGGGCTGGTTGGAGCGGAGACGGTGGTGGTTCGGGCAGTCGTGATCACTCCGGCCAGCGCACCGCTCGCGAAGAAGCGCAATCGACGCACGAGCAGGAGAGCCGTTGGCGGCGCTGGGGGCGCGTTGAGGACTCGGCTACAAGCGGGCTTGGGTTCATGTCCGCTCTGCAGCGAGCCCTCATCCTAGAGCAGCGGCAGCAAGAAGCGGAAGCCGCTGACGACGGCGGCAGCGGCTACGACCGTGAGGATGGTTGGAGAGGGGAAGGGGACCGGGCAAAGAGGGAGGCGGGTGGCGATAGGCACGCGCTGGAGCTCTTGAGCGTTATCGCTGCCTGTTGCGATGTAAGGGCGCAATGCGCGCGGTTACATGTAGCAACCTTCACGCATTGATTTCGTATAGGTTCCTACCTCTGCGTTCCACATACTGTTTTCAGCTGGTGTGCTATTTCGTGAGTCCTTCGTCCGCGGGGAATGTGCTCGGGTTCTCGCGGAGAGCCGTCGGAAGGTGGCGGTGTGTTGCTTCCCTCATTACCAAGTCGATGTTCTCCACAGACATGCGTTGGCATTGCGCCGTTGTTAGAAAGGGCAATAGGAAGACGAGGATCCCGGAGCAGGCCGGTCGTCAGCGCCGGTTTCACCTGACGATAACACAACGCACATGACCCACCAGTAAATCGGCCTAACCACACCATTATTTCCGACTCAACGGATAGGGCAAGAACCACTTCACGGAGGTCCAGTGCCGCTCCATGGTCTCCCTTGAAGAGCTCGTAACCCTGGTAACCCGCGGGGCGCCGGGAGACGCTTTGTCTGGGCGCGGACGCGGCGGCGAATCCGTCGCCTGTGGTGCCGTTTCCTCTCCAGAATCGAAGGAGCACGAGGTGGGTGACGGCAGGATCAGCGTGAGAGAGGTTGGTAGGAGGGACACGGGTGACGAGTCTGCTGAAGAAAAGCGGGCCCAGGAGGAGGATGACGGTGGCATGGAAGAACAGAAGCAGTCCCTGCCGCAGCGCCAGCGAGACAGCAACGGTGACAACGGTGACGACAACGGTTCGTCTGTGACGGCAGCGGTGCCGGGGGCACCGCAGTCGGTGGGAGCGGCACAATCGCCCTCCGCGTCCGAAGAACCGGGGCTGCCGCTTCGAGGCGACAGGCTTCCGTCCAACTCGTCTCTTGTAGGCGCGTCGACGAACTCGTGGTTTCGGGATCGGCCAGAAGACAGCGGCGCCGGTAGGGGCGGCGGGGCCGGAGCAGAGGGCGGAGGCGGCGGCGAGCGGCCCCTCCCGGCCGGAGTGAGGTGGGCGTTCATGTGGCTGCTGGACTCCGTGTTCTTCAACGTGAAGGAGCCGGTGGAGGGGCTGGATCGACACCCGGTCGTGCACGCGCTGCTAGAAAACCTCCTCACGGTACGTGCGAAAACACCTCACCGCCCCGCTCCCTCGTGTGGCTCTCGTGAGATAGATAGGTGCACTGCTTGCTTCGCCACACACTTCGCCACACAACCGCGTGGAGTCAGTTCCCTTTCTTTAGTCGCAGCGGCCCGCGCAATGTTAGACGATGCACTCCCCCCGCCCCCCCGTTTTCACGAACTCCCACCCGCGCACGTGACACTGCTCTCTCCCCCTCGTCGTGCAGACGGCGCAGTTCTGCGTGAGGGTGCCGGCGAGCAAGCGATGGGAGAACGAAGAGATCGACTTCATCATCTCTACGGCTGTCCCCCTCCTCCACAACTTCTTTGACGGTCAGTCGACCGATAGTCTGTTTTGTGTTCGGTCTGGTCCTGTCCAGTCGCCTCCGATCTTACGTTGCAAGTCCTCCGATCCTCGGTAGCAAAGAGTTTTCGTTTGTTTCGGGGTGCGGATCGACACGCAAGAGCTTCGTGTTCACAATATCAACCGAAAGGTGGCCTGGCAGCTGTGTACCCCGGAGTAGGAAATACCGGTGTTGGCGCTATCACGCGATATCGCAGAACTATGAAGATACCTAAGCTCGAGATGCCTAAGCACCAGGATGTCGGCAATGAACAACAAATGCATGTGTGTCTTGCATGTCTCCTGTGGCATGGTCCATCGTCCCGTTCCCGCGACACACGCGGATGGCGTCGGGCGTGGCGACGCAGGGTGCTGGCGAGACCCCCTGCCGTTCGTCGCGAAGACCGCGGTCATGCTCGTCTCCACGCTTGCCGTCCTCTTCTACGCCCTCGCGGAGGACGTGAGGTCCTTGGCTGAGGACGCCGGCCTAAAGTGGCGCTGGCAGAAGGTCGACGGTAGCGAAGTGGACGAAGGGATCTGGGAAGGGGACTGCGACAAGGTGCGTGAAGAATTTTTCTGGCTGCTTCCTCGCCTGGAAAACGATTTCGTCGTTCGCGAGATGACTTATTGCTGTCCCGCCCTCCAACCCACAGGCGGGGGGGGTAAAAGGTCTCAGTTTCGGGTGCGGGAGGGGGGAATATGACCCCTCAACCGAAACCTTCCGAAAAAAGGACGAAGAGTGTACGGAGGTTGCGAAATCCGAGCGAAGGGGTACCAACGACCCCTGTGTAAGACACGATCGTTTCAAACATTACTTTCGGGCGGGTGACCCAGGGACTGCGCTGTTTTGGAAGGCGCGTGTCTTCTGCCGAAACGTAACTCGTGGTTGTTGCATGTACCACAACTCAAAAGAAGTATGCAGTACGTTCCATTTTGCAGGTCGTTTCTCACCCGTACTGATTCCAAAGCGTCTGCCACAACGCCAGGGCATACGTCCTTGCAGCTCCNTAGCGAAACCGTTGTTAATCAGAAAGAGCTAGTTTCTCAAAGCAAAGTCAGTAAGTGCTAAAGCAGCGTAGACACAAAATATCGCCCGTACCAAAGATACCCTCCTCCCGGTTACAACCAGGTTACCGCTTTTTTTTTGCTATTGTTTTTTTTGCGGTAACCATGAGTGGTGGTCGAGTAGATTATGTTATGCGGGGTCGAGAACCCTCACTCCGCGCAAAGGGGATAATCGCACGTTGTGTTCAATTGGTCAAGCACCCTCGAGGTAGTTCCACAGCGCTTATGACTGTCTCTGGAAGTGAAAGCACCAGGAAAGAAATGAAGTCATACGCAGCTGTTATCCGCACGCAAGGAAGTAAGCACAAGATGCCGAACACCCTTAGGATGCAGCGCACCCTTCATGCGACTCGAATACCTCACGGCGCTTCGCGCTTGGTGAGGTGAGAGCCTGGTCCGGTGAGAACCCGGCGTGCTCCGTGCCGGTNGCAAAGGGGATAATCGCACGTTGTGTTCAATTGGTCAAGCACCCTCGAGGTAGTTCCACAGCGCTTATGACTGTCTCTGGAAGTGAAAGCACCAGGAAAGAAATGAAGTCATACGCAGCTGTTATCCGCACGCAAGGAAGTAAGCACAAGATGCCGAACACCCTTAGGATGCAGCGCACCCTTCATGCGACTCGAATACCTCACGGCGCTTCGCGCTTGGTGAGGTGAGAGCCTGGTCCGGTGAGAACCCGGCGTGCTCCGTGCCGGTTTTGTAGGGATGCGAGGTCAATGGTCTAACGACTCCGGCATGCACGACTATAAATACACCCCCCCTCCCGGTAGACTGCGAGACTGGGTGGGCATAGATTTTGTCAGGGGTGTAAGATATCCGTCATGACGATGTTAACCTATCGGTCACAACCACAGCCAACCCGGGATGAAAACGTCCCATCCCCGGGTGTTAACTTATTTTCGTATTGGTTGCTTGTTGTTTGAAACCGCGGTCGAGACATGCAATGCTGGGGCTGAATGCCGTAGGTGCATGTGTTTGCGGATCACTACAGCTGCTGCGTTCTCATCTATTTTGCTTTCTCCCACGATTGGTGTTTGGTTTTCCTCTATAGCTCTGCAGATGACAAAACCAGCGATTGGAAACTGGACAAAAACAATGGCTCGTGATTCATTTTGGTTCATCAATTAACGAAAAATCAAGAAGAATTATCGTGTGTGTGTTGGCGGCGCAAACGAGGGGAGCCCGGAGGTAAGAAGATAACCCGAAAAATCCGTGTAGCCTACCCGCAAACCTTGTGACGACCCTCTGAATAATATTTTTTTTCTGCTGAACCGCGAGCTTAAGATAACAGCACCCTCGGAGCAGAATGACATACCGTGAGTGGATGAGATTTCTAGAGACCAAGTATGGTCAGGTAGTATTTTTACCCAAGATGGTGGTCTTTTTTGTGAATGAGTAATGTGGGCCGGTGCAAGAGCACGGGTTCTTTCAAGAGCATCCGATTCCCTCCTGAGTCACTGGTAAGCATGCCAAACATGCGTGGAACGAGACTGGAAACCTCATGGCCTGCGACTCACGCGTACAAGATTGACCGTCATGGCGCACTGGCCTTCTACCGTTCTTGCCCCCCCAGGTGAGCGCCGCTTGAAAAATGAGGTGGCTGCTTCAAAAAACGCCAAGATCCCGACTACCTCATTCTCTACCCCCTTTTCCGCGAAGAATATATCTTTTAGACTCGACCACTTCTAGCTTTGTTTCCCTCAAGCCCCAGCATGGACCACGCTGCGCGCGACCGCTCACTCATCTCGCGGCGCTCAATAATGGTACGAAGTATTAGATTCGCTCGCCACGGACAACCTCGTCGTATTTTATTCATCCACCGACGAATCAGGAGACGAAGTCTAGGCTGGAATGGCGCAAGCGAAAGCTGCGGTCGCTCCGCGACCTGGTGTTCGAGCTGTACCTGTCGGGGGACCGGCGAAAGCGAGACCTCTTCTCGCTGTTCTGCGCGGAGCAGCGCCGGCTAGAGGTGGACACCACCGGCGGCAGCGACGGCGGTAGTCGCGGGGGGAGAGGGGACGTGGGAGGCGGCGATAGTGACTCCACCGGCAACGGCGCCCGCGGCAGAGGCGGTGCCCGTGGCAGCAGCGAGGACCGCTTTAACGACCTGATGGTCGTGATACAGAATTTGGCCAGGATTGCGGAGGACTCAGAAACGTCCGGGAGTGATTCGGCGCTGGGGGACAGCGAAGCCGACCACCACTACCAGCAGCAGATGGAGGGCGGTGGGAAGGCGGGAAGGCCACGCGGCAGCTCGAGGGAGATGTCAGAAGCGCTGGCGAGAGCGTACTGGAGCACCTCCGGTGATGGCGCCACAGTCAGGGGAAGCCGGACCTTCTCGCGGACGGCCAACATGCTGTCTGTTCGGATGACCTCCAGCGGCGGCAGCAAAGGCTTCTTCCGGGACAAGGGGAACGCCGGGGAGGACACCTGGCAGTCTCTTCGGGCGTCCGCGCCGGACCTGCATCCGCGCCTGCCAAGTCAGTGGACGACGAGCAACGCAATCAGCGAAGTCGACCCGTCGCCGTCGCCGCAGAAGGCTGTCGGCCCCGGCGGCAGCAGCAGCGGCAGGATCGACAGCATTCGGAGTGGCGGCGAGGGCATCAACGACAGCTTTCGAAGTCGCGGCGCCAGCGGGAGGCGCCTGTTGCGGAACGTCAGCGGAAGTGGTGTTGGGGGCAGCGGTGGCGGCGGCGGCGGCGGCGGCGGCGGCGGCGGCAACAGCAATAACGGCAGCATCAGCGGCAGCATCCACCACAGCCGCTCATTCAGCACGGGCAGCGACCGCGGCCTCGGCAACCACCATCGACCCAACAGCGGCGACCTCGCCCCGGAACTAACCACGGCACCGTCGGAGGGATGGGCGGCGACGGTGGCAGCAAGCGCCTTGTTGAATGCCGCTGGTCGGTCCAACAAGTCCATGTGTTCCATCCGTCGCGAGGGTTTCGAAGGGGGTCCAGGCGGGGGCCCAGGCGACATGGGGAGCAGAGGAAGCGCGTCGAGGTTCTCGTCGTTCAGAGTCGGAAGGAAAGACTCTGGCCCGGCCGGCGATCGGGGGGGCGGAACGCCCAGGCTGCAACTCAACGAGCACGGGGTGAGAGCGCTTCCTGCTACGGGTTATTCCCATTCTTGCAAACGTGGCGCTGTGTTTTCTACGTTTTGCTTGTCCAGCTCGAATCGAGCCCTTTTCCCTCCAAGCTGTAGTACTTTTTTGTCGCTATTTTCGCCAAGGCACGCGCAAGGTTGCATTGTTTCTTATGCTACTGTTGCACACCGACAGTTGACCCGTTGTTGCTTATCCCTCCGCCGCCTAGACCTCGTGCATCCTTAATGGGGGGGAACGCAGACTCACGGAGGGGGAGCAATGTGATGCGCAGACCCTTGCTTCGCCAGCGGTGACCGCATAGATGTTGGTGTCATGACTGCTGTAGTGCACACACACACAATGTGTGCGGTCCAGCCCCCCCCGCCGCTTGACTGCCGTGTTTGGGTTGTTGTCATTGTCGAGCAGGTCCTCCCTCTTCTTGAGGCGAGCGTGACGGGGAGCGGTGAGCTCGAGAAGCTTGTCTCGGACCTCCAACAGGTGACTCGCTTGTTGCTATTTCTCGGTGGCATGCTCGCGTTGTGTACCTGCGTACGACCGGCCGGCGGGGGCAGACGTTGTTCAGGGCGCGACTTGGAACCGACAGCGGGAAAAGGCTGATTGCCGCACAACATGGGCATTTAGCGACAACGAAAGCAGCAGCAGCAGCAGCAGCAGCAGCAGCAGCAGCAGCAGCAGAGCAGTATCGAACGACAGTTTTAGACGTTCCGTGTATTTGTGTCTCGTTCGGTAGTTAGGTGATTGGACAGGGAGAGCCTCGTGTGTTCCTGTTCTATATTTCTTTTCCGGTCTCTTTTCCCTCACGTCCCCTTCCCAACCAGTATCGAAACTAATGTCACCTGATGGACGTCCGGCAGAGTTCACGGGACGATCATGTGCGAGCACTGATTCGCTACGTCTGCTCACCAGCCCTTGGATCGGACGGTAGCAGCAGCAGCAGCAGGAAGAGTAGCAGCATCGGCGGCGGCGGCGGCGGCGAAGACGACGGTGGAAGCAGCAGCAGCAGTCATCATCAGCCGTCATCCTCAAGTCGTATGCAGTCACCTCCACCTTCCTCGTCCTCCGCCTTCGCCGAGATAGGTCTCAAGAGGTGCGCGTACTTTTTCGTGTGTGATGATTTTCTTAGAACAACACAGCAAGCGGCAACGTAGTCCCATCATACTTCCGTCCGTTATCATGATTCCATCATACTGCTGTCCATCATCACGGTTCCACCGATCAACTATCCCTCCGATCTGCGGGGGGTGTTGCCGTTCTTCGGGACCGCAACTGGACGCAGTTGCTCCGACCGGGTACGGCAAGGAGTTGCTTGGGAGAAATCTCCGAAATGACGATTATCGCAGCGTCAAAAAGCCAGGGTCATTACCCTTGCTTCCCGCGCCCATGCTCGCCGGATAAGATTGTCTTTCCTCACACCAAGAACGTCCGAAGTCACTAACCAAGCAATCGAACATCAACGAACCAGGTTCGGTCTCCACATTCTGCGGGCGGTGATCGAGACTGCCCCTCCTGTGGGGGACGGGTCGGAAGGTATTTGTTTTCTTGTATACTTTCGCTTGTATTTCCCTCCCTATTGGTTTCGGTTGCCGTCTTGTATGTTAGATCCAGGTCCGGTCCCAGCTCAGCATCTGACGATCTGACTGACGGACACTCCGTGGTCTAAGACTTATTGCACTATTTTTTATGTAGTGTCGCTTGCACTTCCCTCCCTACTAGTTCCTGTTGTTGTTGTTGTTGCCGTTGTTGTTGTTGTTAATGATGATGATAATGATGCCGTTGTTGCTGTTGTTGTTCCTGCTGCCTGCTGCTATTGTTGTTGTTGTTGATGTCGTCGCTGTCTCCATATTAAGACTCGTTCCGGTCTCTACTTAGTACCGTTCAACATCCGCCGGTCCGACTGACGTGCGTGCACTCCTTCCGTGGTCGTAAGGCCTACCCGGGATGTGGCAAGCCGGGGGCGGGGCCGACGGCGGCGGTGGCGTGAGCACGAACGAGGGCAAGCGGGGAAGAAAGGTGGACGAGGACGCGATTCGGGACAACCGGGTACGTCGAGAGTAGACCCCCTGCCCTTGCCTTGTCGTCCCTTCTCGAACATTCTTGGTGAAGATCCTTGGAAGGGCGCCTGGTGCAGCACCACTACCCCGTCCTTCGTACCCACTACGTCGCCCTTCCTCCCACCGAAAAAAATGAAATCAGGAAAAGGCCGGCAGAAGGCAGCAGCAGGAGCGTGTTGCGGGTCTCGGCGGGGGCAACACGATCCTCTTGTTTGTCGGCGGCCTCAGCTCGTCGTCCACGCGAGACACGGCAGGGGATGCCTTCCTGCTGGCGGTGGAAATGTTGAAGGGGGGCAATAAACAGGTCCAGGTAGGTGTGTTCCGCATACTTATGTGCACGTGCTGCTTGGAAGAGCGTTAGTCATCCTGAAAGTCGGCTGACAAGTGAATGGGCTTTTTGTCTCATCGGCACTTAATGCGTGCGTGTACTTTTTGTACGCACATTGGCCGCCCTAATAACTGTGAACGGGTCTCAGCAGCGGTGTTTGTATGTGCGATGAAGGGTGCAACGCGCCTCGCCCGGTTCCTTAGAAGATGACGGGTGAAGAAGACGGTCAGGACACAAGAGGGTACGTATAAGACATGACCATCGCGCCACGAACGGCTACTCAATATTGTCGAAAATAGCTTTCACCAGGGTACGGAGAAATTGTGCAACCCTCTCCGTTCCCACGGGGATATCGATCACGGTTGTCAATCATCTCAATACCAGGAGCATTTCTACGCCGTGCTGCGGGAGTCTCGTCAAGACGAGTACTTCTTCGAGGCTGTTACCAACTTCATTCGCGCCTCGGTCACACGCCTCGCCGACTGCCGCCGCCGGCGTCTGGTCCTGAAACGCCGGGGCGCCGCCGAGAAGAAGGTGGCCCAGATCGCGGCCGATAGTGTGCGCCCCGTCGACTTGCCGAGGACGGGGAGGCGGCAAGGCGGCAAATGGAAGCAGCAGCAGCAGCTGCAACAACAGCTGCAGCGGCGGCTGTTTCAGCAGGGCCGGTGGAAGCAGGGCTGGCAGTTGCGGCAGACGCCCGGCGGCGGCGAAATCGGAACAGACAGCGGCGATCGAGGCCAACTTCGCCACAGCAGCAGCGTCAGGGTCCGTAGGGGAGGCGGAAATCCGGCGATGGACAACGGGTTGTCGTCCTCCTCTCCCGATAATGATGACGACGACCCTCTCGAATTGTGTGAGGCCGCAAGCCTCCCGGCGCCCAGCCTGGAGACGGCCTTTCTCAGAAGCGGCCAGGCGGAAGGCGAGAAGAGCCGCAGGGGGCGCGGCGACCGCCGTTCCTCGTGGGGTTCGACGAGGTCATTGCCTCCGCCATCGTCGCCGTCATCGTCGGTTTCGTCCCGGTGTAGAACGTCGGCCGTGCAGGGGGCGGCGGCGTCGAAGGCTGCCGCGGCAAGGGCCCCGACTGGATCGGTGCGTGAGAGGTTTTCCGACAACTCTTTGCTTTTTCCCGAGGTTTGTAGATGGCATCTCCCGCAATGTGCACGGAACACACCGCAGCTCAAAGGTTGAAGTATTGTGGACGAGGGAGAGGCGGTGCTGTAGTGCTCATGTTCATGATTGTGCAATTTCGCCGGCGATTAGAGGCAGCGCCGGTACCGGGGCGGTGCGGCGTGGTACCGTGTGCAACCAGACGTTCTGGACGCAAGCAGTGCAGGTACCATTTTTCCCCGTAGTCCAGCTCTAGGTAGAATTGCAATAACGACGATTACGCGTGACTGTAGCTGGCTGCCTCAATAGAGAATCTGGCACGCACGGGTGGGTAACATCCCCCCCGTACACAATATGCCGACCATGACATGGAGACATGGAGAAACAATAGTTAGCAGTAGCATCACGAGACATGTGCGTTAGATATGTTTCCCCGTTCAGCTCCTGGTTCGACCCCGTCTTCCTACCCCACGGGTTCTCTGCCTCTCGCTCGACCGCTGCTGCAACACAACATCACGCGCTTGTCTTATTGTGGCGAAAACACCTCATCTGTCTGTGCTACACGAAAACAACATGAAGTACATCCCTAACGGTCGTGTCGAGCGCTCGAAAGTGCCTCTCACACACCACAATGTTAACCTCAACTTATTGCAGACGCGGAGGCAGGCCAAGGCGACCATCGCCAACATGTCCATCACGGTGGTCGAGCCGGGCACGGTAGGCAGCGGGGAAGGTGGCGGGTACAGCGGGCCGGGGGCGCACGGAGAAGACCAGACGCCGCCGGCAGCGCTTCCCATGGCCGGCATGGCTGCGGGAGAGGGAGAGGTACGATCCGCAATAGCAGCGGTGACAATATTTAGTAGAAAGATTGCATTTGTTTGTGGCCGTCTTCGTACGAAAGAGGCGTTCCGACCGTCGCCACGTGCGTCGCACTATTCCCAACCAGCAGGTACGGGCTTCCGCCATACCTTGATGGCAGTATTTTGTAGCTGTTCAGTCGTTTTTTTGTCACATGTAATCGTCTTAATTTGCTCGAAAGAAGCGTTCCGACCTTGGCCGAGTGCGTCCAAAATTTCGAACGGATCCTAAGCAAAAAAATCACGAGCTTCTGCGTAGTAGGAAATCTGCGCAACTCCCCAGCTGGCGAAGGACTTTTTCAACTGTCGCCCCAAGATGTGGTTGCGTAGGAGAGAGCCATGCACGATCTGTCCCCCCCGGGTGACCATGATCGCGTGTTTTGTCGCCAGGGGCTCGTGTAAGACGGCCTCCGATTGCGCCTACTAGCCCGTAGGACTGATCCCCCGCCCCCACCTGCACCCTCTCTGGGCGACACGCATTCGAGAGGGAACATGTGGCATCAGTACGTGGTGTTGCTGAGACGCTTTTGTTTTAACGTTCGTGCGTCGGTCATGTCGTGCTGGCGCGTGAGAGTTATTCTTGCTCCCATGTCCTCCTTGTTGGATGCTTGCGTTTTGTTTCCGCCTCTGCGTGTTGTTTTCGCCTCCGGGGACCCGGGCGGAATCGTGATTTGGGAACCATTGTCAAACAACTCCAGCATTCTCTTGGGCGTACACGTCCCCCCCCGGTATCAAGAGTATGTTGGCGTTTCACTTGGAACGGGGCGTCTGGGCAGATATGGCGCGAGCTTCTAAATATGGATCAAACGTGACATCACGTTTCGAGCAGGAGGAGGTGGCGAGCCTCTCGGCCCTGATGGAGTTCTTGCGGCTGCTGTGCGAGAACCACTACCTCGACATGCAGGACTACATGAGGAGACAGCCGGACAACCTACGCTCCTACAACATGGTGAGCGCAGCGAGGGGGCCAAAGTAGAATGCAACTATGTTGTGTGCAAAACCATGTGTTGATCCCGTTTACTTTTGGCTTTTCATGGCGGGACATGTGTCCTTCGAGGGAAAATAGTCGAGGGTGATGAGTGAGAGGCCCTTCTTATTTGTCCATCCTGCCGGAGCCGAAGGAGGGCAACAATGTGCCCATGGCGAGTAATTTGTGTGGGGAGGTCAAGGCGTTCGAACGGACAGCGCAAGGCACACGCACGTGATACTCGCCCTCGTAGAATGCGCTCCAACACCGCGTACTGTAGTCGCTCCGAACCCTTTTCCTACTCCTCATGGTGCTGCCTGTTGATGCTGACTAGACGAGACACGCTTCGTTCTTCACGCGCTCCAACTAGATGCAAGGTGACGCACAGCCTTACAATCGCTAACGCTACCTCTGCTTCTGTCGCCAAAGTTATCCTCACCAGGTGTTGGGCTTCTCCTATTGATGTTGTCGCTGCCGCTTGCCACACCGTATTCCCGTCGCCGAAATTTCACCCGGTGATGACCGCAATTCTAGCCTGACCCTGCTCTACACACATTTCACGACCCTTATTCCTGTCCCTACTGTCGTCCGCGCTATCCCTTGCACCACACCTTCGCTGCGAGGTGTACCTCGCCCGTCCTTCCGCCCGTTCCAAAACCCCCTGACTCAAATTCGCAAACCCCGGGCCCTTTCTTCTTCGCCGACACAATCCTACGCCAGGTGACGGAGGTGTGTGCGCTGCTGCAGGGGCTCGAGTGGGTAACGCTGGACGACGTGCGGCACTGGGGCATCGACGCCAGGACCATCGACCTCGCATTTACGGTACACAACACGAGTATTCTTTTACTTTTTTCTCCACGGCATTTTCACTTACAGGGCTCATTTTTCTCTGGTTTCCGTTGCTATCGTCGCGTTTGTGGTGGTTTATCTGGGTCCTTTGCATCTTCTCTTCGGTTTTTCCTAGGTGTATGCACCATTTAATTTTCGGGGGTAGATGTCCTGTGACCAAAGAAGGCGTTCGCTTCGGATGGACGGTACGGGAGTAAGGAGAAGCACGGTTTTTACTGTGAAGACAACAACAACAAATAATTCTATACCTGATTTCAAGCAACACAACGACAACAACAAGAGCACAACGCATACTTATTCCATGCGACTGCGCTGTTCGTGGGAAATGAAACGTGAACTATGTTTTTGAGTTTTTCAAGTAGCAGCAACAGCAACAGCACATCGCAAGGATATACCATGGTACCGGCGCTCATCGCGGGAGATGAAACACATACGTATGACCGGACTCGCATTGTCCCCCGAGGATGTCCGCATTATTTCGGTTTCACGCAGAAGTGGCGAATAACACGTTGTCGCGTGATACATGCAGTCTTCTCATGTGTGCCGTCTAGAAGAAAAGCTCAATCCGGCTTGGGGAGGATACCAGGGGGCACCGGCGGTAGTAGTTCTTGCGGTCATGGTTCGCAGGATGGGCCGTGATGGTGAAGGCCACCTCCCTCAATTGTAGCACCTCAAACAGGAATCGAGTACCCATTCAGTGAATTGTTGGAACTGATCTTCGCAACTGCCACCCGGTAAGATGTACCAGCGGTAGACTTGCCCCTTAATCCTAGTGGGCACCACAACCTCCCGCAACCGCTACCGCCTACCACTTCGATGATTTGAGTTCAGATTCATCTTCATCCGTCCCTGTGCGACCGCGGTCCTGCCCTCGAAATAACGGCCTTGTCTCGCGCTGGAGTTCGTTGACACCAGGTCACTCCAGCGTGTTGATGCCGTCCGACGGGCTTTGTAGCCGGAGGCTGTCCCCTTGTGCACCGTACCGCCTCCCTAGCTTTCATCACCACGCCCCCGTCTCGGCATTGTAGGGATGCGAGGGTTGTGGTCCACCGACCACGGCAAGTGTTGACATGAGTGCAACCCTCCTCCCCCCCTGCTGCACGCTAACCTGCGGTTCGTTTTGCCACCATATTTTCGCTCGAAACGACTTAAATTTCAACCCCCGTTGAAGGTGGTGAGAACCTTGGTGGAGTTCGCCCAGGGCAACGAGGGGAACAAGCGAACGATCGCAACTCCTAGCCTGACAGGCAGCATCAACGACCTCTTCCGGAACAGGTGACGGCTGACGCGGCGGGATTGTTGGTGATGTTGGGGGCTGGATGATCAGCAGCGCGGTTGGCGTTTCAAGTATTTCTTGGGGCTCGCGTACGGTGTGGTAGTCGCTGTTGACAATACAGTAGCAGCAACGGCAGCAGCAGCGAAACATGTTCATGCAACACCGACACGGGCTCGTCACAAGATCGCCCAGACACAGGAAAGGAGCCTCACACCAACAGCTAACTAGTAGAGTATTACAACCTTGGTTTCGAGCGAGACAGACACGAACGGCCAACGATGCCAAGCTTTTCCAACACGAGTAATATCAACAATGCGAAACACTGAGCTGATGATTTGGACTGTTTTTTTTATCAGAATGCGATGGTTTGGACCGAGCACTACGGCCTTGTATCATGCTCCTATGCACGCCCTCTTCCACCCCCTGCCTGCACCACTCGTGCCATGTTGTTGTTGTTGTTGTTGTTGTTGTTGTTGTTGTTGTTGTTGTTGTTGTTGTTGTTGCTGTTGGAAGGTTCGACGGCCGCGACCACGGCGACTCGGTACTGGCGGCCCACCAGAGGGGGGAGTGCAGGACGTCCCCGGCCCGCTTGAAGCACCAGGCGTTCGTGCTGTTGTACTCTCTGATCGAGGGGTGCCACGAGGCAAGTGAACTACACGAATACTAACCCGTTTTAGCGGTGCACGGCCGTCACGTGTCCAGC